CCAGCCTCCATGAACATCCTCAAATCCAGCTGGAGCAGCTGATTTGCCCAGCAGCTAAAGGACTCACATATCACGACTTAAACAATATTAGCCTCTCCACACAGCAACCATGAATCAAGAAGCCCAGCAAAGGCAAGTTAAATTTAACCAATTTCAGCACCAGGGTGCATTTCACCCCCTCTGTCCTGCGCATGCCTATTTTTGCAGCACCGGGAGACTGAAACAACTAAATACGTATTCCAGGCCGCCTCCCCCAGAAGGAAGTCAGAGCCACTTTTCAATTACACAAATTACATGCATTTTCCCATGTGTGAAACTCAGGGATTCATCAAATCCCTTGAATGACAGCAGACCCACACATCCAGCCCTCCGCCATCTCTGTAAGCAAGCTCAGACTCCTGGAGGTGGAAAGGGGGAGGGGAGCTCCCCAGAATCTGGCCCGTAACAAATGGCGCTGTGCTCCCCGAGAGTGGGGGAAGGCAGAAATCGGGCTCCATGGCTGCTCCCCATCAGGATCTGGATCTTTGCTTATGTCCCACTTGCCCGGGGGCCCTCCCTATGATTCTGCTTTCAAACTGCTGGGTGCCTTCCAGTTCCCAGCCCCTCCGGGAGCCCCATCCGTGCACAGCCCCGGATCTGCCCCACTGTCTGTCAGTGGATGCCTAGCAGGGAGTGGCCTGGGAATGGCCCCAGGAGCCTGTCAACAATGCAGAGGGATTCTGTTGAGGGGGCTGAGAATCTGCATTTTCTCTGGAGCCCCGCACACCCCCCCATGACCACGTCCACACTGTGAGCAGCACTGCAGGGGAGGGGTTCAGGCGCCCAGCCCCTTCCCAGGGCTTGGTCCACTCAGTGCTCGGGGTGGACCCCCGGGTGCCAGGCCCTGCGTGAGGCACTGACACCCAGGAGACCACGGGAATGGCAGTCCCTGCCCCCGGGAAGCCTGCGGTCTCACAGGGGAGACTGGAGACACAGGGCCCGTGGAAGCGAGGCCTGCTGGGGTGTGGCTGGGAGGGGAATGACATGGGTGTGACAGTTCAGAGTTTGAATTTGAACACTTCACCTAAAATGTCATGCGGTGTGCTTGAGTGCGATATGGCTATGTTACAGAATCCCAAGCTCATGATTTTGTAACGAAGGGTTTTGTAATGAAAAGGGGGTGTTACTTGTGCCAGACCCTGTAGAATACACTATTTCTCACACAATGGACATGCCGAAGGCAACCAAGAAGCTACGCAGAACCAAGTTTCTCAGCCTTCTTTTCGCCTGCCCTGTCACTCTCCCGGGAGCGGTTCTCCCGCATCCCGCCCACTCGTGAAATGTTAACACCACGGATAACTATATACCCACTTAGGTACTGTACATACGTCCTGTGCTTTATACATAAAAAGAATGAGATTTTCTGCCTTCTCCCCAGAAGAACCAATTTTCGCCCCCTTGGGGGAGATGGCCCCTGTTGAAAAGGCAATGTTTAGGAAGGAACTGTGAATTCATTTTGGGGCCTGGGGATGGGGAGCCCAGAAGGGAAGGGATCAGGGAAGGCATCACAGAGGAGGTGGTATCTGTCCAGGGTGTTGAAGGATGAGCAGGAGTTCTGCAAGCAGAGAAGGGACTCAGCGACAAGTCTCCCTGGTGGGGCAGGCTGAGCTCCCGCCTTGCTCTCACACGTCAGTGGTGGCTGGCCTGCCAGGGGGTCGCTGGTGCTCTTCGCCTCCCACTGCACTCTGTGCAATACCCCCGACACACACACTACACCAGAGCTCATTTGCATGATCAACAGAATGTGACAGAAATGATGATGTTCAACTTCTGAAGCTAGTTGGTACTAAGACTCTGCCACCTCTGCCTTGAACTTGCTTTGGGGGAAGCCAGTCAGTGGCCCTACGGAGAGACCCTCGTGGAGAGGCACCAACTTGCCAGCCAGGCGAGGAAGCCGCACCAGGAGCGGGTTCTGCAGCCCCAGCCCAGGCTTCAGACGATGCCAGCCCCCGGCCTTCAACCCCCCGCATGGGACGCCGAGCACCCCGGAGCAGATGCAAGTCATCTGCAGGTCTGCATGCCTGACCCACAGAAACAATGAAATAACAAATTACTGTTGCTTTAACCACTAAGCACTGGGGTGATGAGTTACACAGCAATAAATAACGAAGACAAGCCCCACCTCACAACCCGGTTCCCTGTCTTGTCGACTCCGCCAGGCTGCAGGCCGTCGTGCACACGCTGAGGTCAGGCAGCTCTGGCTGGTGAGCCAGGAGTTTCCAACGTTGTGCTTGTTTCTGCGGCTCCTTGGAGAATTCCAGGCAGTCCCAGCGAGGCTGTGAGGGGGCCGGGAAGCTCCCCAGACTCTTCTCTGGGTGAGGGTTTCCCAGAGACCTTTCTGGGACCTCTCCAGAGACCTCTCATCTGGGAGAAATGTCAGTCTGCCGATCCTTTGTCCTACCATCCCTTCCTCCTTCCTTCCAGCCTCCGATCACTTGGTGGGCATCTAACGAGGTCTGTGAAGTGTTGGGCGCCAGGAAAAAGAGGAGTAACTCAGGCCCAGGTTCCGTCCTCAAGGAGCTCACAGCCCAGCTACACATGTCCTCACCTCTGCGGAGCCCTGAGGGAGCGACCGGCAGAGAGTGTGGGGGACAGCTGTACAGGCCGACTAGAAGTAAACGGGGTGGTGAGGGGAAAAAATTCCTAGAAGGGCTACTTTCGCTGGTGCAGTGAGGAATGGCTTCCTGGAAGAGGCAGCATTTGAAGCTGGGGCTCTCAGAATGGGTAGGACTGACACACTGGATATGGAGAGAGTGAGATGTCTCGGGTGGCGGGAACTGTGCTGCGGGAAAGACCAGGGGTGCTAAGAATCAGGGTGCTCAACCTGGGGAGGACAGGCGATGGGGCACGGGTGACAACAACCACAAAACCAGAAACACACAGTGCTTGCAAGGTGCCAGGCACAGCTGTAATCCCTTTTTAATCATGTAATCCATATAGCAGCCCTGCGAGGTCAGTCTTCTTGGGACCCTGACTACATTTAGGGGTGAGGGACTGAGGCTCGCGTGGCAGCTCCAAGTGGTGCGCAGGGTGGGTAGAGAGCTCCCTGGCATCCAGGAAAGGAAGCTCGGGTACAGAGAAGGGAAGTGACTTGGCCAGGGTCTCACAGCTGTCGACAGGCACCGCGGGGCCAGGAGCCAGGCTCACGGGGCACACGGAGCTGGGCCGGCTCCCATGCAGTGGTTTGGTCTGTGCTCCACCACGCATGACTCACTGCTGCCCAAGCCCACACACTCCCACCTCCCGCTTTCGCACACCCGGCATCCTCTGCCAGCAGCGCTCTCCTCCGTGCCTCCAGCTGTCCAACACCCTCTCCTCCTTCGCAGCCAGCTCAGCATCACCTCCCGCGGAAGCCTTCCTCATCCCTGGGCTGAGTGGGCGGCCCTCCCTCTTCACACCTCTGCCACGGCTGGTCCCACCTCCCCTCCACTCCCAGCACCCCAGGCGCACGGGGCCAGACCCAGAGGTCTTCAGGCAGCTCAAGCAAGCAGAGCAAAGCCGGATCCCCCGCCCTGTGGCCCAGCTCCTGCCTGCCTCTTCGTTCTCACTCTCACCCCCTGACAACCCACCCGCCATGCTCCAGCCCCACTGCCCTCTTTCCTGTTCCCCGGACACGCCAGGTTCTCCCCGTCACGGGCTGTCTGCACTGGCCGCTCCGCCCCCAAATACGGGTGCTCTGCGCCAGCCAGTCTTTCTCACCCTCCAGGCCTCAGCTCAAATGCTGCCTGCTCCGCGAAGACTTCTCTGCCTACCCCGAGGCAGCCGCGGTTTATCTCCTCACCCTGTTGACAGCCCGATTTGCCTGCCACAGACTGACCGCAGGGGCCAGACTGCCTGAGTGTAAACCATGGCTCTGTGACTCAGGAGCTGTGGCTATGAGTAACCTTTCCTGTGTACTTCAGTTTCCTCATCTATGAAACGGAATGACAATGGTACCTACAGCACAGAGCAGGTATACGGGTTAAACGAGTTAATACATACACGTGCTCAGAGCAGTGCCTGGTATGCAGCAAGCGTGATGTATGTATTATATAAGTGTTAACTCACTATTATTACTTGTTTGTGTGCTTACTGCCTGCCTCCCTCCTAGAATGCAAGCTTCGAAAGGGTAGAGACTTTATCACTATCCTGTCCTGGTTAGCACTATATCCTGGTTAGCACTCCACCCCCAGTGTCTACCAACATTCTAGGCACAGCAAGTTGCCCATTATGTTTGTTGGGTGGATGGATGGATGGGGGAGGCAAAGAAGTAACACGTGTGCATGGGCAACCACTCGTCCCAGGGGGCCACAGCTTTCCATGCCCCTCTCTCGCACTCCAAAGAACAGCTAGCTTGCACTGGTGAGTTCTGCCTGCAACAGACCATGCACACCCTGGTGGAACTTCGGGCTGTGCATAACATTTGCCAGTGTGAAGAGTAAATAATCAGCCAGGAACCCCAGGAAAGGCTTAACTGAGGACAAAGGCAGTCTTAGTGGACAGGAGAACTCCAGTGGGGAAGAGAGGTTTGAGAGGGAACAGATGAAGAACCATCTGGGGAAGGGGAAAGAGAGAGCGGGGTTCTGAGGCTTGAAAGTCCAGGGTGCATCGGGGGAGCGGTCAGTTGTCTGGAGCGGCTGGGCCATGGAATGTGTGGCAGGGACAGGAGATGACACGGGACAGGCAGACTGGCTGGAATTTGATGGCCCTGAGAGTCAGGCTAGGGAGTCACTGCAAGACTTCAAACGCAGAGAGGTGGTGTTGGGGCTACCCTGGAGAGACCCGCTGTGGTGGCCATGCCAGGGCTGACCAGAAGGTCAGGCCGGGAGGTGGGGGCAGCAGGAGGCTGTGCAATCACAGGAAAGGATGGGCCAGGGCCTATGTCAGGAAACTTAGGAACCAGGCTGGACAAGGGACCATTCCTGCAAAAGACTGGTGGCCATTCAAGATAGTCCCCCAACAGAAGGTGGCTTGGAGCTTACCTGAACCAGGTTCCAGCCTTGGAGGGACTCTGCGATGATGGACGTAACGGATGGACAGACGCCCCCGAACACCATCAAGTGGTTCGGCCCGTACTTTATTGCGTCGTAGAAGGCTTTCAGTCCTTTCGCGTTATCACACTGGGGAGCAACACACAGAAAGAGAAGCCCGAATTAGAAACAGCTTTCCCCGGGGGCAAGAGCCCAACAGCGGATTCACACGAACAGATGTGCCTCGTGAGAAGCCTTCTGGGCTTCAGTCCTCTCACCGGCGGGGCCTCTCGTCACACCAGCCCCGGGTCTGTGCTGTGAGCTCCGTGAAGCGTGATCTTGGCACCCCCGACCCCCATCCTGGTTCCCCAATGCCTCACAGTGGGGCCTCCCCTTCCATGGCCATTTACGCTTGGGAGGGTGATTTTCAAAAAAGCGGAAAAGAACCAATGTTGGCGAGGACACGGAGACACTGGAACCCTTGCGTATTATCAGTGGTGGGAATGCAAAATGGTGCGGCTGCTGCAGAAAACAGGCTGGCCGTTCCTCAGATGGTTGAGTAGAGTTACCACATGATCCAGCATCTCACTGCTAGGCACATACCCCAAAGGACCGAAAGCGAGAACGCCAACAGATACCCGTGCTCGCAGCAGCCAGAGGGTAGAAACGACGGACGTGCTCATCAACGATGAGCGGGAAACACACTGCGGCGGACACAGACGGCGGACCGTCACTCAGCCTGGGAAACTAAGGGAACTCTGATACACAGTTACGACCTGGATGAACCTCGGGGACATTGTGTGAAGGGAATAAGCCAGATGCAGAAGGAAAACACCGTGTGATTCCGCCTGTATGAGGTGCCTGGGGTCGTCCGATGCACAGACACAGAGAACGAATGGCGGCCGCCAGGGGCGGGGCGAGGGGAGAGGAGGAGTCAGTGTTTATGGATACAGTCTCAGCGTGGGTGGTGGAAACACTGGAGAGGGGGGCGGTGACGGCGGCAGCACAACAGTGTGAATGCTCTGAAGGCCACGTGACTCTGTGTACACCTAAAAACGTATTGTATGTTATGTATCTTTTATCACAATTTAAAAAAAGGAGGGGGAGGAGAAGGAGGAGACATGCTGAAGGGAAGAACTGGTTCAGCAGACACCTGCCAAACGCAGCTCTGCGTCAGCCCGGGCTAGGCGCGCAGGGAACAGAGGTTGGACCTGGCCCCTGCCAAGGAGCGCGCCTTGGGGAAAGGCACGACAGCAGACCCTGGAGATCTACTACGGACACGAACGAGGAGCAAGTCCACGGGTGCTGGCAGTCAGGACGGCTCGCTCCCCTGCCTCCCCACCTCCACCTCTCTCATCGGGCCCCGCGGTCAGCTCTCCCCTGGACAGAGGCTCTGGCTCCTCACTGGGCTTCTTGCTCCCCGTGGGGCCCAGGTCAGCCCACTGGCCTCCACCAGCCTGAGGGCCTCTGTGAACATAAAGTAGTCCTTCTCACTCCGCTGCTTTCCGTGCACCTAAAACCCAAACTCTTCACAGAATACAATTCTCAGAAGGTTAGAAACGCCACTCTCAGGAAAATCAATAGTGGGTACACGCTGCCCTTTTACTTAGCTCATGAATAAGGGAACCTGCAGGACGGCAAAATGGAGTCAAAAGGAAATTTAAGAGACAGGGGTTTTTACAGTGAATGGAAAAATAAGAAAGGAGATAAAATTGCTAAGTTAGATATAAAACTGGTTACTGCCTTACAGGGCAATACAACTATAACCTTTGGGGACAGAAAAGAAAATAACTCAAAACCTGTACAATGTACCAGTTTTAGAGAATTATAAGATGTCTGAGCTTTAAATTCCCCAGGCCAGAGGACCCTCGGGCAGGGCTGTTGCAAAATGCTCCAGGTGTTTGGCTGTCTGTATAATTTGCATACTTTGTATCACTTACAAGTTTGGTATGATATTCTTGACCCTCCTTTGCATGACGGATGCCAGAAGCCACAAGGCCTGGCCTCCGTCTCACTCTGACCTGACTTTCCTCCCCCTCCCCATTCCCAGTGCTCGTCCAGTACAGTCTCACCGGCCTCCTTCTTGTTCCTTGAAATCGAAAGCCATTTCCTTCCTGCCCCGGGGCCTTTGCACTTGCTGTTTTCTCCAGGAATAACATTCATTTGGTTCCCCACAGAACTGGCTGTTTTTTATCATTCAGGTCTTGGTGTGGCTGTTACCTCCACAGTGAAGCTGTTATGATCCCTCCTTCCCTAAATGGTCCCCGCTCCCAGTCGCTTACTAAAAGCCACGTTCTGCACTGCCCTGATGTGGTTCCTAAAATTATCTGAAATCATCTTTTCTATTTTTTTGTTTGCCTGTTGATTGGCAGGCCTCTCAGCTAGGATGCAAGGCCCCTGAGGGCAAGGATGGTTATGGCTGCTTTCACTGCTGTCTCCCTGGAGCTCGGACAGGGCCTCCGGCGGGACTCAGGGAAAATCTGTTGACTGCCTGAAGCGGAAGTTCTGATGTTCTCCCCACAGCTACTTTCTCCCCTCCCTTTCTGCTTCTGTCTCTCTCCTGACTTTTGCCTCACTCTCCATTCTCTGCCTTCCTCTTTCTTTCTGTTCCCCCTCCCTTCCCATAAGTGACCATAATGTGAGACCAGAGTGGGCTAGCATTTGTTGCTCCTTCCTTGTTTATTTGAGAGACTCGGGACTGTGACCCAGGGTGGGTGCTGGGAGAGACAGGAAAATGAGTCTGACACAGTTCCTGGCCTCAGGGAGCTCCCCGTCTGGCAGAAGCAGTGAGACAGGGGCATGGGTGGCCACGTCACACGGCAGACAGCACTCAGTGCTGGGGGCAGGCAGGTCCAGGCTGTGGACACCACCAGGGGAATGACCAGGGAGGGCTCTGGGGGTGGAGCGCTTGAGGCTGAGTGATGAGGGCCAAGCAGCCTGGGCTAAGGCTCACCAGGGAGTTTGGGTTGTAGCCTATCGCAATTCAAGAAAGAATTCCCATTTTTTAATTTTGATTTAATTTTTAATTGGTCAACTTATTACTTTTTTTTTTTTTGCCAAGAAAGAGAGAGAGAATGAGGAAAAGACAGAAAGGCAGGAGGGGTGGGAGAGAGAGGAAGGCAGGGAGGGAGGAGGAAAGACTAAGTTGCTGGTTCTTGGGCTGTCCAGCAATTGTCCTTGTCCCTGACTGAGCGTGACACGTCCCACCCACCGCAGAGCAGGGGCAGACACTACAGAGCAGTTCATGTTTTAATTGTTTCTATCGTGATTTACTGAATCATTTCCCGTTTTAATACATTTTGGTAATGATTCTAGCTTGTTTTCTAATCTGTAGCTAATGACAATGATAATACAGTGCCACAAGATTTATAATCAAAGGTGCATTAAAGTAATATTAGCAACAATGAACTAGTTAATACTTGTTTGCTCAGCAAACAATTCCCCAGTACCCAGCTTGTGCGAGATTCTGTATCAATAATGATGCCCTGGCTTTTCACAAACAGACAACTTCTGAACACGTCAACGCGAAAACCTGAGAATATTTGATAACCAGTGTAGCGTCTGAGCTGGAAGAATCTTCCAATGCCCAAAAATGTTTCACTGACTCAGTCTCCTCCAGGCTGGGTTTAGAGGGCGGAATTCTGGCTCCCATAAACTTCACCCCTTGGTCCCACTCTCCTGAATATGTTATGTTACACGACGAAGGCACTTTGTAGATGTAATCAAGGTCACAAACAGCCGACCTGCAAGCATTACCCGGGTAGCCCAACACCATTGCACCAGCCCTGAAAGCAGAGGTCTCTCCTGGCTGGGAGCAGAGGGGGAAACAGGCATGCAAAGCACGAGATCGACTCAATGGGCCTTTTCTGGCTTGAAGATGCAGGGGGACGCCCGGCAAGAAGATGGGAACCTCAGGCCTACAGCTGCAAGAAGCCGAATTCTGCCAACAGACTGAGTGAATCGCGCCTCCAGATTAAGAACCCTGCCCCGCTCACCTTGACTTTGACCTTGTTTCCCGATCAGAGGACCCAGCAGGGCCACACAGTGCCTGAACTTCTGCCCCACGGACTGTGAGACAATACTCAGTTGTGGTTTAAGGCACCAGGTGTGTGGTAACCTGCGACAGCAGCCACAGACAACTCACATGGCATAGCAACATCAGAAAAATAAGAATGACCTCTCCCTTCAAGTTAAATGTAGTCTGTAGAAAGAACTCTCCTTAATTTGTAGAGATCTTTCATGGTGTGTAGGGTGTTAAAGTGTTTGGCTACTTTAAATTATGGACAGTAGGGAGATTTTGTTGTTAATGTCCTAGCGTGACAAAAGAAGAAGTGTTCCACCCACTCTGTGCCAGCTCCTGTTCCGCGACCACATTCCCAGCCCATCCCTTCAGTCTTTCTCACTCTGCGAGAGGCCGACGAGCATGGGCTTCGCTAGTCCAGCCAGCTGGGCACCCTCATTTCCAGATGCAGACGCTGAAGCCTTGCCCTCAGTGTGGAGGGACTTGTCCTTTCAGGGTTACGGGAGGGATTCCGGGACTTCCAGCTGAGAGCTTTCCCCATAACCTAGAGAATGCAGCTCAGTGGGCAAAGGGAAGGTTAAAGCTAGCCGTGTTCCAGAAAGGACCAGCAAGACGCTGGAAGCCCAGGCCTCCTCCTCATCAGCACTCTCGGGCTGAGGCAGGAGAAACAACCTACTAGGCACCAGGCTCACTTCCTTGGCTCCCCCGGAGAGCACTGGACAGATCTGTCCCATTCTCAGTGCTGCCTCCCTCGTCTTCCTCTCCAACACTGGATCTTCCTATCTGATGTGATCAGTGTCCCAAAGAGACGACTTCCCTGATCAAAGCTGAGCCTTCGCGGCTGGACCCGCTTGGGTGTTTTCAGAGTGCTGCCCGGACCCTGGCTGGGTAAGCTGTGTTGGTCAGAACTTTGTCCTGATAGGCCAATGTTGCAGGATAAAGCCCTGGTCAGGGTACACATAAGCAAGAGGCAGCCAATGAATGTGTAAATAGGTGGGACAACAAATGGATGTTTCTCTCTCTCCCTTCCTCTCTGTCTCTAAAGTCCATAAATAAAAAGTGAAAAGAAGAAAACAAAAACAAAACCCAAAGTGCTGCGCAGGACCCCAGGACCCAGCAGAGACATTCT